TGTAGGGTTCAGGGGATCTCGTAGTCGAGCAGTCTCGACTAGAGCTTTCTTACTTGTTTAAATATAAAAAGCCCTTTTAGAATGTTATTTGATTAACAAAATATTGCTTTACTTGGCTAATCATTAACTGATATTTTTGTGCATTTCTTAAATTTTTTCGGAATATATTTTTAAGCAAATTTTGAGAAATCTTTAAAAAAAAACTTTTAATTTCCAAGGCATTGCTACGAAAAAATTCAATAAATCAAACCCCGACTTTGTCCTCTTTAGGAGTATAAGAATTGTTTGCTTTGAGTACTCTATATAAGAAATAATAATTTATTTGAAAGAAAATGCTTCCATAAATTAACATCAAGAGTAGTTTGAAAGTACAAGCAGAAATTGAAATTGAAATTGACTCAATTTTCAATATTTAAACGATTTTTCTTCACACTGCTTTGCAGTGCTGGTCAGTGTAAACACTTAGCTGAGAGTGAACTTTAACAGGAGAATAAATTTTCGTGTTGTTAGGTACAGTGCTAAAGAGCCTAATTCAATAAATGTCGTACAAGTGCGTTTACTTACAGAGAGCAGTGTATTGGATGCATTGATCTCAGTTTTCGACTCAAAGCACACGGCTTGATAATCGTAGACAATGACACGCTTGTATACTCTCTCCTCGACAAGGCGCATCATGATGGCGCCGTTGACTTCACCGAAAAATCTGCCCGTTTCGTGAACGCGCGACGAGATGATCACAAAGCCATTGTTATCGAGTATATAGCAGTCCTTGTCATCGACAGCGCATGCCTAGGGAGGATAGATTTTGGGTATAGCTCTATAAATAATTGCAAATTGCGGAGCACTTACATTGCCTGTGATGTTGTGGAATAGCTTGTAGAATGCAGAGTGCTGGAATTGGAATCCAACGACGGCAGCGGGCGCCGACTTGGAGCTCTCATTGTGAAAAATGGCATTGCTGGCAGTTACAATGATTTCCGAGCCACTTTCTAAGAGTTGCAGAGTTTCAGTTAACAGAACTTATAGATGTTAAGTTATTGAGAGTCTTACCACCAGCATCGAAGGGCACCGAGTAGACAAAACTCTCCTTGTGCACAAAATATTGGTCCACGGCGCGCTTATACCAGATCTCATCGATAGCGCGTTTGTTGTTCTGACTGAAGCTCTCACTGCAAGCAAATGAAAGCAAAGCAAAGCAAAGGCGTGACATATGTATCGAGGTACTACTGTAGCATGGTATCAGCACAGCACTCACCCTGCGCTCGGCTGCTCGGCCATGTTCGAGTGGAACTCGTGCCAGCGGGTCAGACCACTGTGCGTGGCCAGAAAGGCGACGGTGATGCCAAAGCGTTGCTTGAATTCGTGTCTGTTGGAACGGAAAGCGAGATATTAGAAATTGCTCCACAGCAGAGCGAGGACAGTAACAACATGATTGTACGATATACATATACATATATAAGTATTTATATATATACATATATACATATTTATAGTATAGACGAGTGTTTACCTTGGCAGCAAACCCATTAGAACGGCTATTGGGCTTGATGCGCTAACGCTAGATTGGGTATTTTGTATTGTATTTTCGATTTAGACATTATGAAAGGCATTATGTTATGTTGTGGCATAAGAGTTCAAGAGTTTTCATAGATTGCAGTATTCAGTTGTGGGTGCAAAAAATTCATTATGGAATAGACAAACGAGACAATAACAACAACGATACACGCACACACGCACACACGCGCCATAAAATGCAAATCAAAGTGAGAAAAAAGAAAGGCGTACACAGAAATTATAATGGTTAATATGTGCTGCCTTTAGCTGGTTGGAGGATAATATAGAGTGCGCCTCTCCTCCCCCCACACGGTGGAGGGCGGAGCATGGCGCTGTTTTGACTGTACTCGATGTGTGAGAAACAAGTCAAGTCTGCCATCGAACAGCGACCCACTGCCACTTACCTCTTCTCCTCCTTGTCGCGAGCATTGAAGCTGGTGCTGTTCGAGAACCATTTGGTGACGCGCGCATCAAAGACTAGGGATTGCATTAGCTGGCGATCGCCTGTAAGCAGAAAAAGTCTAGCATTAGCTCATCGGCAGGACAGGCGAAGCAGCATCTCGAGCGTTTGCGCTAGCTTCACATTGCATCAACTTGGCTACATTTAGAAGAGTTCTTATTAACAACAAAAACACGAAAATTGTAAATTGAAAATTGAAAAAGAATACAATTTTGTCTCATGCATTTCCACTTGGTGTTCGTGATTGATTCTGTGCAAATTCCGCAGCTAACTGCTGGCAACACACAAGTAAATATCGTACATAGAGCTTAGATTACGAGAAACTGAAATCATAAGTAAAGACTACATTTATGGGGCGTATCCGATACTCTCCTGTTCTGGGGCAAGAGACAGCGCCAACAAAATGTGAACGAAATGGAAATGGAGGTGCAGGTGCAAAGTGCTTGAGCTCAAAAGTTAATAACGGTGCACTCGGTGATTGGTGTAGAGGCGATACGGGGTTAGAGAGGTTGATAGACTTTTTTTTTTGTTTGTTGGGATGTTACAACTTGAGTTGGCTTTTTGGCATTCGTTACTCACAATAGTAGCTTTCTTTTTCATTGATTGATGGATAGCGGCCAGTTGATGAGTTGTTAGCTGTGAATTTGCATGATTATTGAAATCGTAATCGAAATTTGCAAGATTCTTTGATATGATTATTCTCAATTCTCGTTTCGAGCACAAGTTAGTTTAAACGAAACATCGAACACAGTAAGCAAAAACTTAGTTCAAAAGCGTCAACAACGGCCGTTTTTTTTTTTTTTTTACTCATTTAAGCGACTTAGGAAACAAAAAAAAGAAAAGACAAAATATATCTCGTTGGTTTTTAGTTGTACTTACAATAAATAGCTGCCGCATGCTCCGGGGGCAACGCGCTTCGACTTGATGGCCAATGCCAACCGGGCTCAGACATGCGATCAACAAAGTACAAAAGCTCGGTTTCGGGCGTTCTGAATGTCTTGTTGGTTTGCTTGCAGAAAAGCCTGAGTAAACGAACAGAATGAAGCTAAATATCCTCTAATATGATCTCCCATCGAGTGCTCTCACTTACCAATCGGGGTGTATTTTCCAGCGTTTGCCATCAAAGAAGCTGCGTATATTTTTGCCCGTTATATAGGTGCGATGTATGTCTTGCTCGGTGCGTGGTTCCACGCGACTCACACCATAACGCTCCGGATAGGTGATAACGAGCGTAAAGGGCGTATTCTTGATAGCAGTCCAGTAATACTGGCGCTTGACGCGAGCCACACGTTTCTGCAAATCGGCATAGAGATCGTAATCAATTATTGTGAAAGAGATAGAGTTTAGTTAGACTGACCATTTCATCGAAATGATTTTTAACCAACATCCATTTGCTGCCGGTCGATTGATTGATTATAGAATCGCGTATCTAAGAGGGAGTAGGGTTATCAATTATTAATAGATATCATTGTTTTCAAGACTCATTCGTGGCCTACCGTCATCAGCACTGGATTAAAGTCTCTGGCGGCTCGATCGTCGTCCAATAGCTCGACTTCGATCATGTCAACGCTATTGTAAGCTGGTTTTAATATATAACCTTGGAACTGCTCGGTAAAAATCAGTGTTGGAATGTACTGAAACTTTTTGCAAAATTCTATTAAATTTTTCACTTACAATTGGACGAAAATCTGGATGGAATAGTACATAACCATTGTTGGTTACTATAAACGCATAACCATTCACGCCAAGCTGCAGGGATTTAACAAATGTTATTTTAAATCTGAATTTGTGGCACGATTTCCAACACTAGACACTTACCATAAACGGCGATAGCAGCTTCTTTATTTCACTGATGGGCACATCAGTGCCAGCCACGCCCAATATGTTTGCGATTCTTGTCTGTGCATGAGCAGAAATTGTTGAGTAAATTTAACAAAATGTTTTTGAAAGTGTTGAGAATCGAAACATTTACACAAGTTGGAATTTTAAATGTAGTTTTTTTTTTTTTGTTTTTTTTTTAGCGCAAATACAAGTACAAGTACAGAGAATTTTTATTAATTGTTTGCATGTTAATCAAATACGGAAAATGAATTGAATTTGAAGTTGATAAATGGCATTTCTAGTACAAAACGAAATTTTGATTCGGCTTACACGTTATGAAGATTAAAAAAAGAAAAAGGAAAACAACAGATAAACAACCAAAAATATTGTGAATCGAAAATCAAGTCAAGAAATGTTTATGCAAATACATATGAAAAGCATTTGTTTTTACTACGCAAGAAACTTACGAATATAGTTAAGAGAGATTTTCTTTTAATTTCAAATGGCATTATAATTAAACAAATTTTGATTGATGTTTACAATTACAAATAGATTTAGAAAATTTCAATTTTCGAGAGCGTTAGGCTAATTACATGGCTAGCAGAGTAGTACTAAGAGCGTATGAGAGCGTACAGTGGTTGTGTTAACCAAAATAACGCAGTGTTAAGAAAGAAATTAACAAAAATAAAAAATACATGAAATGAGAATATTGATTTTTAGCAAAATTTTAGTTAAGACGCTTTAGCAAAGTAGAAGAAGAAGTAGAATGAAAGATTAATATACAAATTTGTATTTTGATTGAAAATCGAACTGAAGACAATGAAAAAGCTGTTTACAAAGTGTGTATAGAGGCTGGGCTGGGGGCGTATGGTCGGGGGGCGGGTACGGGTAGAGTTAATCACAAGATGTAAGTGAAGTCGACGCACTTGGAGGAGTACAAATTCATTTATTGAGGTTTGTATATGTGTTTCATGTAATAGTTGTTGTAATTGTGTGTGTGTGTATGTGTATCTTTTTTTCATACAGTTTTTATACCCTTCACACAATTGCAATACAAGTGAGTGTTTGGTTTGCGTGTGAAAATACCGTGTAAGTCAGTGGAAACACAGCGTTAATCGGTAGAGCTGATGGAAACACTGTGTTTGGGGCAACGCACCAGTGGAAACACAAGGGAAACAAGTTGAGAATTGTTATTGAGACATTTATTTATAGTTCAGTGTGATACGCCGTTGCAAAGAAGTTGTTGTTGGTGGAGTGAGTGTGTTTACCAGTTGCAGCTAGATTGCAGTTCAGCTAGACAGTTAGTAGAGTTTAGTTGCAGTTGCAGTTGCAGTTGCCTAGGAAATTGATTGAGTGCCCGTTAACAGCAATTAGGAAAAGCTTTACATATAGAGAGCTTAGCCTAGGAATACGACTAGAAAAAATTAATAGAAAACAAAATTCAAATCAAGCATTGGAAGCTAAAAGGCTGAAAGTAAAATCAATTCAAGGAGGCTGGAGAAATGGGCGTGGTGTACAAAAGAAAATCTTAGTTGGTGCTCAATTCAAAAGCAAAATGAGTTTTATTTTTTCTTTTCATCAGGAGTTCATAACAACAAAAGACATGCGGCACAGACGTTAATCAAAATGTTATAAAAATGTTTGCAATTTTTTTTTTATATTTAGTAAAATTTGTTGTCATCTGTTTTTTTGCAATTGTTGCTTAAATTTAGAAACAATTTACTCACAACTTGAAGGTTTATTTTCGCAGCCGGATTTATATCGGTCGTTAGATTAATGAGCTGTGAATTTGTATTGGTAGATTATAATAAATAATGAAATAAATGTCTAGAAACGAAAGCAAAAACTTAAATATGTCGGGGGTGTAGACACCTAGGGGAGCGCAGCTGGGATCAATTGAATTACTGGGTGTTGTGGGGTGTATTCAAACTAAGCTGGATCTAAATTTGTTGTTGTGCCTGCCTAACAATTGCCGTCTTTTGGGCTGGTTCACATGAAGGGTATAAAAACTTAATCAATCGATGCCTCATTGCGATTTGTGTTGCTAGTTTGAGTATGTTTCGTTAGTTGTTTATGTTCTGATGTTGTTTGTTTCTTGTTTGTTGTTGATTCATGTGCTCTATAGGGCCTCAGCACTAGCCTAAGATTTCTTTTCAATCGATTGTACTTACTAAACATCAATGAGTACGGCATCTAAACATTGATTGGGATATCTATTCGGGAGCATTATACCAATTCAACTATATACGAGTACTTTTTATTATGTATTTGGGCTCTAGGCCTGCAGCGGCTCTCAACCGATATGTAGTTTGTAGTTGCTTTGTATATATTTTTGTTTTTCAATAGTTTTTGGTCTTACGTAAAACAACAAATGTTAAATTGTACTACTCAAAATGCTAGATAAAATGTTCTATATATGTATATATTTAATTTACGATTACGTTAAGTAAGTAACTAGGCATAGCTATATGGTAATTACGAATATATATAACGAAAATTCGAAATGCTATAATTGTATATAATTACGTGGTATATCATCTCAATACTTTACCAATCGAATCGCAATTGTTTATTTTGTAAATATTTATATAGTATTTTCATTTTGGATTTTTGTATACATATACATATAGATGACTATATGCAAATATATATATATATATATGTATATATGTATGTATGTATTTTGATAGTACCTAGTACGAGTAGGTGGTCAACTATAATGGCAAAAAAATTTGCTAATAAAACAGTATGGTCCTAGACCATATTAGCTAGAGTTATATACGAGTATAGTTAGTTATATAAGTTATATCGATTAAATATGGAATAGGTATGCATGTTATGTAGCGCAAAGTATAACAAATTGTTTACTTTAGTCATATAATAAGTATATTGATATACATATTTGGATAATATATATTTGATATACTTGAATAATATAATTATATATATTGAATTCAATACGATATATGTATATATGCGATTAATTGGCGTATATAAAACTTTTCGCTTAAAGAGCAGCAAATACTTTAATTTCTTTACTCAAATATCAAATTTGAATTTGAAATTTTGTAGTTGGTTTTTGTTAGAATTTGGCATTATAGTTTGTACCTCACGTGTTTGCAATTCCCAGAGTGCTTCATTTATTAAAACTTCTTCGGTGATATTCTGTGGTATAGTTGTGTATTGTTTTGGTAGTAGTAGTAGTAGTAGGTAGTTGTGTGTTATAATTATATATAACGCATAAAATATTAATATAGTAGTAGTAGTATATAGTGAGTTTTATATAGATAGATTATGGGTTTGGGGGACTGGTTTGGCATTGTTTCTCTTTTCTTATCTTATATATATTAATCGATAATTATATATTGCTTATCAATAGATTCGATGATGACGAATAGAGAGAGATAGACAGAGGGAGAGAGAGAGAGCATAATGATCACGACATTATCTGCGGTGCGACGTCGGTATGTCATTTGTTCAGATTTGGCTAAAAAATTTTGGTTTTTGCAGTGCTAACGGTTGATATTTGATTTTGATTTTGATTTCGCTCGCGCTCGGGCAATAATATCTATATAGGCTTGACTTACCGCGTTTTCGCGACGATCGTAAATGGGCATGGAGACGGTGGTCATAAATTGATAGACATTTGAGTCTACGGGTTGGTTCCAGGTCTGCAAAACGTATATATGAACAATATTAATATAATTTAATAATATTAAACAAATGAAAACTGTTTCACCTCCTTCATGCGTCGGTATTCACGCCTGTGCATTTCGGCTGGCTCCAGCATGCGATCGTGCACCTTCCAATACTCCAGAACATCGGCCTTCTGCTCCTCGCACTGCTTGATATCCCACAGATAGTCGGAAAGTTTGGTATCCTAGATAGCATTAAACGATTGAAGGCGTTTCGATTTTTCGATTCTGTTTGGTAAGTGGCCCAAGGCCATTACCCACCTCGAGGTCCGCATAGACCTGTGTCCAAATGACCGGATGATCATGCCTACCCAATACCAGAGGTCTAGCCATAACTGGTATATAATTTAATACCATTTCGCGCACCTCAGCCGTATCGCTGAGGTGCACATAATAGCCCTGATTCTCGCATGCCATCCACCGTATATCATCCCAATTCGCCACCTCTTTGCCAATCAGATAGGTGAACACGCGCACCGGCCTATACGGCGGGTCGCGCCAATTGTGCAATTGGAAGACCTCTTGATTATTTTCGGGTGCCCCATCACCAATGATCATAATCGCCTGATTGCATTGCGCGCCGCGCGAATTTATCTTCGTCTCTTCCAATATCTCGAAGGCCCTTGTCAATGCAGCGGTATAATTGGCAATCGATTTGGGTTTAAACGATTCAATCCCTTCTTTTAGTTCACGTATGTTGCCCAGATTTGCCTGGATGAATTTCGAAGTTTTTGGATAAAACGAATTCGGTTTTGTTTTGTATTTGATTGTTTTTTTTTTTTTTTTTTTTTTTTTTTTTTTTTTTTTTTTTTTTTATATGGGGTTGTTGTGTTTGAAGCCGCATTGATTGTGTAGAGTTTGAATAATTTTGTGGGATAAAGAAAAATCAGATTGCAAATTGATAAATTATATTGAAAATAGAAAATTCAAACAAATCAATATATACAAAATAAGAGATGTAAATAAAAGAGATATATACTTGAATCAGTGTATCCTCGAAACATCCGACAACTGGGCTCACTTCCTTATCAAAGGTGAAGATGTTCACAAAGTCATTTGTACCTAATGTATCAAGTATAGTATTGACAACATGCTTTGCGATATCTAGCCTCTGTCCCAACATTGAACCAGATCCATCCATTAGGATAATAATATCCTTTGGACTTGTCGCCGCCTCCATGTACCAAGAGCGTAAACGGCAATCGTATAGATCAACCGGTACGTCCTTCTTCCATTTCGATGCAGGGAATTGACGCATAAAGCCTGTCGAACTGCCAAAAAATTGCCACGACAAACTTGGATCGTTTTTATAATTATCACGAAATATCTGATCCAAATTCTCCGACCATTGAATCGCTTTTATAACATCCGATGCTGTGGTATTATGTGTGTTCAGTGTTTTGTATTCGAAGAGGAGTATTCATGTTCGTGTCAATGTATTCGATTGTATGTTTGCCGATGATTATTGTTGTTGTAGATTTTTGATTTAGTTTGTTTTTGACAAAGAAACGGGAAGAATTTTTAATACAGAAATTGATTAGTCATTTTTTTTTTTTTTTTGCTGGGGATTCGAACTAAGACCTAAAAATAAATCTCTCTGATAGTTTTTTTTTTTTAGAATTTGTGAGGCGTTTCATAGCATTAGCACAAGGCAGTGCAGGCGCAGGTGTAAGTGCTTGTGTTGTGAGTGTGGATATGTGTGGGTGTGTGTGTGGGTGTGAGTTGATTTTTTCTGGCGTGCTTTGTTGGCATGACCATGGGCGTATTGCACGTAGGTATTACTGTGGCTTAGTTGGGTGTTGTACGGTTTTTGGCAAAGCATTCCGCGTGTCGGCAATAAACATTCACAGCGCCACGCACGCGCCCCCAGCAACAATTCGCAACGCAGCATCCGCGATGCAGGCAGTGAAAAAAATTTTCTTTAGATATGAACGCGTCTATAACTCTAAGAGAGTCTAATAACTGAATATATAGAAATCAAATCAGGTAAGTGATTACTTCTGAAGATAGATTAAACAATTTTGAAGATGACAATTATCTTGACTTGCCTTTTGTGTTATAAAACTCCTATTTCTTATTGCGGTAAAAATAATTATCCATGTATGTCTACAAATATTTTTTTGCATTTTTAACTTTGGAAATATTTGTGTATTATTTTCATTTTTTTTTTTTAATTTATGAATATTCCTTAAATTGAGTATATAAATAAACTAAATATAATAAGTCTCCTCAAATCATCTTAACTAAAACCTTTTTCCTTTAACATAAATTTTCTAATAAACAATGCCCTTAATTAAATTTCTAAGTTGTACAGCCCTTTCAAACTCCCTTTCTGACGCACTCATATCTAAGCTTTCGGCCATTAGGTACAGTTGTGTGCGCAGAATACGGCGATGTGTTGCTTGCGTGGGCGCGCGTGCGCTTTTTGCGGCGCGCATTGACTTAAGCGGTTGGAAATTGAAAAAGAAAAAGAATGCGCAATATACGAGAAATGTTAAACGCTTAATCGGTTGAACGGTTAAACGGTTAATCAGTTAACTATGAACGATAACTAATTAGCATACAGCATACGAGCGAGACAAACAGACTTAGTGCTACGTTTGAGACAGCTATGTTAAAACAGAGACAGTTAGAGAGACGCAGTGTTTTTTTTGTTGTTGGCATTGTGTGTGCTCGTGTGTTGAAGCTTTTACATACGACACGCAGTGTGCTTAACAAAGACGGCAACAGTTACAGTTACAAATACAGGTGAAAAGATTTATATATAGAGAGAGAGACACAGAGATAGTTTGAGGAAGAAACAGAAAGAGAGAGAGAGAGATAGCTGTTAAGATTATAAGCACAATCCAAACCTCGATCGAACACATTCACTGGCACATGCACCGAACTGACGCTGAAGTTGACCGGCGTATTGTGAAATTCCGGCCTCGGCTCCAACACCAGAACTTTGGGCGGTACATAGATTAGCGGCTCGCCGATCTGATCGTCCATATCCGGCGGTGTCGTTGGTGCCGGCGGTGTCGGTTCACCTGGCTCTGCCATCGACTTGGCATTGTAGTACGAGAACATCTTGTCCGCCATATCATTTTGATGCGACAGCGCCGTATTCTCAGCAGTATCCATAATGCGCTGAAATTGAAATAGTTGGTATACATATATTATTAAAGTTAATTTGATTGATATATTAATGATGGCGAGCATTACTTACTCGCACGGCGCTGACTTTCAGATCCATCATCATTTCGATTTCTTTCGCCATGGACTCTACAATTACGCCACCTTGACGAGTCACCACTTTGGCCTCCTTAAAACTCTGTAAGTTATTGAATAGAGATATTTGAATAATGGCTGAAAAAAGGTTATTTAATGTAGGAAAAATTTCTTGAATTATGAATAATACTTTTCGGATTTCTCATGAAAGAAGTATAGTTTTTATAAAATATACATACATATGTATATCTATATAACAAGTATATACTCTGTTCAAATAGGTGATTTACGACGTTGTGAAAGGAGAAAATATATATATTTAATCCTAAGATCGATAAATATCGATATTCTATAAAAAAAGGTAGTTCGAGTCATACGTTGAACTCATTTGAAAATAATTCAACACATCAGATATTTGCTAAAATTAATAAAGAATTGATTAATAAAATAAATAAGTGATAATATAAAAAAATAAAAGCTACAAATCAAGCAAACAAAATAATATTTAGATTATTATAAATGTAAGATTTAGAAATATAATATAAATATATAATATTTATAATAATATAAAAATAATATATATAATATAATAAAATAATATATATATAATGCATATAATATAATATATTTTAATATTACAATTTATATAATTAATATATCTAATGTTCAATGTGATTTAATAAATTCTTTGTTTTTTTCGTAATTTACTGAGCTATTATGCTTGTTTCAAGATCTATTAACAAAAACCATTTAGTACATAATTGTGGCATTGCTTCCACTAAATGAATCCATAGAATATTCTAAGCCATTGCTAAGGCCCATTGGGCAGCGAGCTAGAAAATGCTGGAATTCCTTCATGCAAGTACTTCCGCCACATGCCACACGCCACATGTCACAGTAGGCTTGACGCCTGCAAAACAATTCCATTTCGAAAATCCAATTGCGCTGACTAAAAATAAATTACACAGCTGTCCTACGCAGCGGCAGAAGCAGAAGCAGTAGCAGCTACTGACCTCATAAAAGAGACAACGACTAGCTGACCAGCAGCGGGTTGGGGGGAAGTTCTTTAAAAGGGCAGCTGGTTGTTGTTGTTGTTGTTGTGAGACATGCCGCGTGCTTCAAACATTTTGTATATATAATTGCCTACTCAGTCAGCCTTTAACCCAAATATGACGTCGCTGCTGCAGTCGCAGTCGCCGTCGCTGTCGCAGTCACCGTCGCAGTCGGTAAACGTCAACAACAAACAATGAAAGGGAGGAGCATCAGTGGGAAAAATCAATAGGGCGACTTACCTCTTGCACCTCCTTGCGCCTGGTGATAAAATCGCCCAGAGAAAACAGCTCCAAGCCCAGCTTGTCCGCCCAGGAGTGCACACTGTGTGTATACAAATATATGCATAGATCGTAATTAATGATATTTGCTCTCAGATCCTGAGTGCGGCTGGCTTTGGCTCTCACTCACAGATTGTAGTTGATTTTATCGCCATTCGCTGTGGGCGTACTGTGGATGAACACAAACAGAAGGCTCAGGCAGAGGCGCCGCCAGACCCAAAATGGTCTCGCCATATCGATGTACTGGCTGCTCCGATCTGGGCCGCGACATATATACGAACGGGCTTAATTTAATTGTAGCCCAATTTTGCTGCACTCTATCACAAACACAAACACACACTTGCACATGCCATCGGGTTTGCTCTGCTTGTGGGGCCTGCCTCGAGCCGCAGCCTTAACGGGAACGCGGCGACATTTTCCCTACCAGAATAATCCACAAAGTTTTCGCTCACGTTTTGCACATTTTATACAATTTTCATTGAATTTTCTTCAAATTTTTCGCAAGCTGTGCACGTTTTTCGCCTCTGTTGTCCGCGTGTGAAAATTCTGATGGACTGTAGAAAAAACTTTTCTATGTATACTGCCGTTAGCTGGTTGACGTTTCGCTGACATTTCTGTGTCAGCGATGAGTTCATCGCTTGGTCAGCGTGTGCGCGGGCGAGACAACCGTATGCGCGGTGCTTTTGACGTACGCTGCACCGCTCACACCGTGTCCTGCGCCTGCGTTGACATTTGACACGCTGGCGCATTCGGTTTGTTTACATCCGTCGAGGCGCCACAGGTGTCTGTTTACCTGTTCGTGCAGCTGCGCACTGGCTTTGTTGACGTTTCTCAGCTGATGCAGCGCTCACAGCTGAGCGCCAACTGTTGCGTCTGTTGACACCGTTTGACAGTTGAGCTCAATGCGAGGGCTGCAAGTTTTGCCTAGGAAAAGCTTTTACGTACAATGCAGAGCTTTAGCTTAGTTACCTGAGCTTTGCTTGGCGAGCTTAAGCGAATGTTTAGTTTCGTATACTTGGACGGCAGATGGCGCTTTTGAAAATGGAATTATGCTGACAGTTGGCAGAGGCAAATGCTTGGGTGTTATGTCTTTCTTAAATATTATTATAGCGCAAGATAAATAAGAATATAGCTATTATATATATTCTTTAGATGTTTAAGTTGTTGACGTCAATATTATATATTTAGTAATTATTATTAATTGTTTAGTATTCTTCACGTTGTCTTGATGGATGTGAGTTATTAAAAAAAATATTTATTAATACGAGTAAATACGAGATTTTTTCTCTTCTGGTATTGAGTGAGGAGTATGTAATGATTAGTCAAATTATTATTAATTTCCTTGAAATATAGTGTTCCATATTTATTATCTCTCATATTAAATAAATCCTTTCCTATATTCATCTCCAATCTTTTTCGAAGTGTAAAATATAATGAAACAAATACTACACAACATAAGAATTATACAAAATTTATCAATAATTTTTATTGGTATAGCATAAAGTTTAGACATTTGTTATGGAATTCACAACAAGATAATGACGACAGACATAACTCAAAACGCGATACGGACCGAGCGTTGTTTCCTGCTCCCTGCTGCATCTCTCTCTTTCTTCTTTTCTCTCTCTCTCTCTTTCTCTTTCTAGTACTTGTAGCCACCGGCACCACCGCCGCCGCCGCCACCGCGTCCGCCAGCTGCTGGTCCCTCCGGATACTGAGCCTCGCCCTCATAGCTGACGTCCGCATGGTAGCCAGTCTTCCAGTCGGCCGTGTAGCGCACTACCTGAGTGCGTCCGTCGGGCAGCTGGACGCGATATTCGCCAGTCACCACATCGCCATCGCTGGAAGCCTTGTGCGCGTAGTCGTTGGCCGTGTCTGGGTCCTGGACAGCATACTCGAATTCGAACGGCATGCCGGGCATATGCACATGATCCTGTATGTATGTAAAATTAGCGATTAGTGAAGGAGTAGAGTCACATACATATGTATGTGTGGTACTTACATCGCCTGGCTGACCGGGAATGTTGCGTGGGCCAGCTGGTGGTGCTGGGCGTGAACCACCGTTTCTACCGGGCGGAGAAGGTTGCTGGAAGTGTGAATAGTATTAGATGATTAAACTTTGTCAATTAGGTAAATCGGCTGTTGAATCGAGGGATAAAAGTTGCTCAACAATTTTCCAGTAGGTGGCGCTATTCTTTATCTTTAATCTGGCTAAACTTCGTATTTCTCATAAATTGTCTATTCTAAATGAAGTTTCTATTTTATTTGATTTATTTTTATATTTTGTTCTATTTAGTTTGAACTTACTGTTTGAATGGAGGGCTAAAGTTTTTTAAAATTAATTCTAAAAATTTCAAACATATTTCTTCGAAGGTTTTTATTTCTTTTAAATTGTCTATTATAACTGAAGATTCTTAAATTGGTCAAAATTTTATTCACGTTCATTCAACTTATAAATTTATTTTGATTTTGCATAATTTTTATTGTTTTTAGTTTGTTTTCATTTTCTTCTGTAATTTTGACTAATGCTTAATTTCCCTCAGGCTGTTTGCCATTTTAGTTTAGTGTAAAAGACTAATTCACATCTTAAGCTGTCTGCTGCTCCAGTGCTTCGCAGTGGCATTTTAATAAATGAACGTGCATTTGCTTAGGTTGACTTGCAATTGCAACTTGGCCAAAAGCTTAGTCAATATGACAGTGGAAAGGGTTAACTCATGCCTCTCTCTCTCTCTCTCTCTCTCAGTCTTTTTCTCGCCTGCCAAGATGTGATTTGATGTGGCCACGCCCCCGCACCCTCTGTCCGTTGACAAATGCAACATCATTGAAGTTGACATTCAAATTGAAAAGTCTATTCCCAACTCTGTCGCAGCCAAAGGTGAAGCCGGCTGCATGACGCTGAACATTTATAGAGTAAAGTGTTGATGGCCTATGAATGCAGCGACTGCATCGAGGCTTGACTGATGGACGGACAGACAGATGAATGGACAGACAGACAGGTTGTTGGTAAAACGGCTTAAAAGCCAGACACCAGGTTAAGAGTCGAGTGAAGGGCTCGAGTGAAAATTATGGCCATAATTAACCAATGGCTTTAATTCAGTTTTGCGGCACTTCAGCTGGATTTCAGCGGCCATTGATGGCTCTGCGCCGCTGGCATACTCACGAATGGCTTATTGGGCTCCGGATAGTCGTAGCCGTTCTTAGTGGGCGGCAAATACGCGTTCGAGCCGGGGGCTATCTGGGCGTAAGCGTAGGCGGCGATGGCAGCAAGTGATAAGCTCTGCAAAAAAAGAAGAGGAAGAGTGAATTAACATCAAATGAAATGTAGTAAAACAAACAGCAGCAGCAGAAAAAACTTGGCATTTATAGGCATTCAAGTAGAAGCGCTAAAAAAGGTTAAGTTAGAAACACAAAAAAGAGAAAAAACTCAAAAATAATAAAAATAAAGTTAAATTAAACAACAAAGTGAGTGGCAAACAAAAATAGAAGCTGCGATAAGATCGCGCCTGACATTCAGCTGCTGCTCTGGCTCAAGCTCTAGCTTTGTCTCTTGCTCTTGCTCTGGGGCAGGTGCAACCGTTGCTAAACCGAAGCAAATGCTATTGCAATTGACTCGTCTTTAGAATGCGGTCCACTCGAAAGGGCAACAAATGGCGGAGGTTAGAAGCTGACAATTAAGGCGGTACCACAGATTTATGGCTGCAGCTAACTGAAAACGTCAACCGGCTCATCTGTTTTTTCAACAATTTTTAGCTTTTTTCTTGCTTTTGGAGCCCAAACATGGCTAATTGACACATGCAACGCAGCCTGCCACAGCCATCCATCAAACCGGCCAGCTGAGAGAGCTCCAGCTGTGGCTGGTTCTGCTTCTGCTGGCCTCTTGTCAGCTGCCTGTCGGTGTTTCAATTAGCATTTGCTAACTGCAGCTTTGGCTGCGGATTGCGGAAATGTTTGCAACGGCAACGTCTTTATACTAGAATATGCACACGGTGCAGAGTATATAAACTGTATTCTATGTTAAATAATACAAATATGCTAAGCTATTGATCATTGTCGTGGTCAATGCCAAAGTCAACGGCAAACTGCTTTAAATTGTTCGCTCATCCATAAATTGCGCATAGGTACGCGTGCACACAGGTGCGAAAAAACTACAAAGTTCAGTTTGAGATGCAATTAATATAACTATGTGTAGTATTCATCGGCTTTTATTTATTATTTATTTGCATAGTTAATTGATTTAACATGAGTTTATAAATATCAATTTAATTGCTGAAGGAGAGCCAAGAATTAAATATTATTTTTATTTATGTACATTTACATAAATGTATGTATATAAAAACATGTATATATAAAATAATATAAAAACTAAGATCAATCTTTAATTAATTTAATTTATTTTTTATTTTATTTTATTTTTTTTTATGTATTTTTTAATTTGCACTGTAATTAAATAATTATATTTTTCTTAATTATTTTTTTTTTTTTTATATATTTTTGTTTTGTTTTTTATTATATTTATTCATTTGCTTAACGTAAGTATTTATTTTCATAAAAGAAAAAAAAAAAAACACATTTTATTTAAAATATATTATTTAATAAACAGAGCTCAGAAATGATTACTTCAAATAATCCATATGAAAATTTTCAAAAATATTTTAGTAATACTTTAAATTTCTGAGAATCAATATAATATAACAATTTATTTTCATAAAATAATTAAAATAAAAATCATTCCCTTACGACAAGCAAATCTGAGCTGCATCGATCGTCTTTCTGTAGTCTTCAGTTAGCAATTAATTTTCAATTACTGCTCTTCTGTTAATTGTTTTGAATTGTTTGTTTAATTCATGCCTGTTTAATTTAATAAACTAACTAAATTCGCTCAATTAGACGAAACTCGCGCTCGGTGGGTGGTCCCAACCTTCAAGGAGCCCAAGTTAAAGGCAATAAGCATGTCAACGGCAATTTTCGCATGTTAAACAAATGCAATTACCGTTAAACAAAAGGAAAAACACGAGAGGAAAACACTAAACACTAAAATCTAAATTAAATAAAACGCCAAAGTCAAAGAGCGACCAACAAATTGCCGCAACAGCCGACGACAGTTCGAATGTCGAAGGCAGCAGAGAACGACAAACGATAAAGATATACCAAAGAGATTGAGATAGATAAAGCCTTGCATTTAACTGCATACCAAATAGCAACAACAACATGCACAAGAAGAAGAAGAACAACAACAACAACCGCAACAGCTGTAAATCGAGTTAAGCCTTCGTCTTGCTCTGTGGCTTGGCTTTCTGCAGAGCAGCTGTTGGAGAATTGAATTAGCGTCGGTGTCAAGACGTGCACAGTGGTGCAAGAGCACCATATATTATTATGAATGGGTAACTAATAAAATGGAGTTGATATGTTTCATAAGTGAGTTACTTCCCTTCTGCAACTTTATAAATATAAGGGATCTACTGATCTGTACTCTCTTGTGTAAGGAAGGCAAGTCGTTCGCCTTTCTCTAAGTACATATATTGCCTTTTTGTCATACCTATCACTGCTAGACAGCAATTTTTACTAGAATAAATAACTTCCAGCAAAATAAATAATAGGAAATCTAAACAAGCTGTAGTCTTTGATTTTTCTATCCTAAGATATTACTATATTAATATACCTTCCTACAATTATATATACTTTTTCTTTATGAATATACAGCTGTAAAAAAATATCAAATAAAAAATAAGTAAAAAAATAGAAGAAAAAAAAATATATATAAAAATAAAAAATTAAATAAAATATATTCGAATTCTTTTCCCTTACTTGTTAATTTTGCCATATGTATATGTATATATATTTTTATGTATATTATATATAATATATATATTTTCTTAATAATCACTTGTTTGACAACACTTTTACACCACTGTGCCTCTACAGCTGTTAAGGTTTTGGTCTTAGCTAAATTCTGCTCACAGCTCTAATTATGCCTTGGTTGAAGGTTCTTAAAGGTCTGTGGTCTGGCTGTGGCATGGTTTGTGCTGATCGCACACCTTGACGCTGGAGTTTATTTACTTCAGCTACAGACATTGATCTTGCGATCACATATAATTATTGCATGTGTATGCCATATGCACATAAGTAGATGCTAAATAAGCTTTATGTATAAATCATTAAAGCACGAGCCGGCTCGCATTGAAATATCAATAATCGCGCATAATCTAATAAATAGCAATTGTTCGCTTTGTGCGGCATTAAACGTGCTTTATTGTTTTTATGTTTTTTGTTACTTTTTTCAAATTTAATTTATCATTTTTTTCTTATTTTTTTACCGCATGCTGAGTTGTTAATTACATTTATAAGCCTTTTGATTATAAATATCATGTGTTGAATGAACTCAACAAGTGTTTTGTTAAACAATTCCATTATTAATCAGCCCAATCAGCGGAAGTAAACTTGGTCAGCCAATTGTTGGCTAAAAAAAAAAAAAAAAAACACATATTTGTAAAGCCTGAATTCATCTTCAATTCCCGCAACTCTCGCGTTGCATGTCGAACACGCCCACTTTGTCAGCAGCGCGTCAAGTTGAAGGTTGAGCGGCAAAAAAATAAAATAAAATAAATTAAAAAACAAAAAACAAAAAACTAGCTGAAATTAATTACAGGTGGGCAGTGGGTGAGACACGTTCGATGGCTTTGCCACTTGATGATTCTGATTCTATTGCCATTTCGGGGCAATTAACCCAGGCACAGACAACTCAGCGAAAAGACACGAGCTCGAACTTGACGTGAGTTTGCGGCTGGCGCTCCAAATTATATGGTCTGGATAATAATAGCGCGGGCACCTGATAATTTAGGCAGTAATATGGAAAAACAAAATGTTTTTTGTTTGCCAATCTACAATTGACTGTTTGGCCAAATTTGTTAAACGTAATTCAAGTGCTTATTTATGGGCATATTAATCAGCAGACGAAACTGAAAGTGTTTATTATTTATAAGCTTTGATGGTGATAAAATAATGGAATAATTTATTTCTAATTTAATTTTAGACTGCATATCTGTATTTTATTAATGAAATAATTTTAGGCGGCAAAACTGTATTTAATTTGATTAATTTTTTAGTTATTCGGCTTATCAAATTTATGAGTAGGCTCCACCTCTATGGATTTCTGCCTGAGAAACTTTAGTCATTAATTAATTATTTCTCAGTTTAAATAAAAATATATTTAAATATATTAATACATACATACATTTATAAAACATAAATTTTTTAAAAAGAAATCATTAGTAAATCATTTTAATTGTGTTTTATTGTATATAAAACTAATCTGACATTTTACTCGTTATTAGACAACATTCAAAAGCAAAAAATATTTACTATAAAAAAATAAATACATGAAAAATGTGTACATTTAATTAAAAATTTGAATTAATCTTCATTAAGACATTTTTAATGGCAATATTAAATTTCTTACCCTGTTAACCTAACATTGCATATCGAGTAATTAACTCATAATAACTATGCAAAGTCAGTTCAGGCATTTAAGACTCTCTGCTTGTTATTTGAGAGTATTTTCACAGACATTTTAAAGCCTTCGGCTACAATATAATAAAAATAGTAAATAGTAAAGAAGCAATTTAGAATATCATAAAAAGCGCTTGGATTCACGCTGAGCCGATCACGAGTATTCGGCGAACATGGCTTGAGAATCTGCACATTTGTCTCGCTCCGATTGCACACTTGATCACGACCCAGTTTAAAGCGCGACGTCAAATTACCCAACTGAACTAAAGATAAATAATAGATAAACAAGCACATATATGACAATTGCATATTGCGGCTAAATGGCAAGCGCGGCTGGCAAATTGATTTATGAGCGGTTAGCATTTAATACATGTATTCGTATAGATATATATAGTTTACGGATTTATGGTGGCAATAAAATTGCTTGCACTTAAATGTCTTCATAAAGCGCTTAGCCAGGTCGCAGGGAGCACTTCAAATAATTCATTTAATTGGCCAAACATGGCCTACATTCCCATTCGATTGCCTTCGCATGGCATTTGGCATAGCATCTGGAAGCTTTTACTCGGACTGCCTATGCACTGCATTGTGAACTATTATGAACTATTGTGAACTATTATTAAGTCATCAGCGCTGCGGAGCTGCAAGCACTACTTGCCTTCGTTTCAAGCGGCACCCTAGACAACATTCTGCAACGCCTACTCAGATCTAGCCAACGCGATGCCGAAGCCGATGACGATGACGATGACGATGACGTGCCTAACGAGCCAA